CATATCTGTTCACTGAAGATATGCGGAATTGGTTAATCAATGCGGTGAATGGGAACATGATTTATTCGCGAATTATTAAGAGCAGAGATTTCTTGCAAGCTCAGATAAATATGATGTTGTTCTTTTAAATGGGAACACCCCGGAAAGTGTGAATTCTCGAATATAATATCCCACTTTAGGTCACACATAATCTGGTGCTATATTCACATTTTCGAATGTTAGTTTCTTAATTAAACCACGAAACAAACAGGATAAAATTGAAAGATTCACCAAACGGTTGCATTATTACAAATGCACAGCACTAAACATAAACACAGCAAATATTCTTTATGCTTTATCATTTGCTCATTGAAATGATCCCTGTAATTTCTGCTGTCCTTTAGATTTAGATTTTTAAAGGTAAAACACTGACACAAATTGCAAAAGAACAATGGGGTAGTATATGTAGGTGAATTAGAAATGTATGTAGCTGAAATGTACATCACCGTGATATCAAACTAGAAATAAAATATACAAATTAAATTGTTTCAAACCAACTTTGAGTTTCATGTGGTCTATCATTTGAAGAATGCAACCAAATGAGGCCATTTTATTTTAAAAACGATCTTAATGACGCTAGTTGCGTTTGTGTTGTGTTGCAAGTTACTTAATTGAAACTGTTGTGTTGGTAGTTGCTGATTCATGTGCTCTGCCATATAATCGCATAATCTAGTAGGGCATACGACCGTTATATTTGATTTAGTTGAAATTCGCGTTACACGAGATAACGTACACTTTTAGCAACGTAATATTGAATTCAAGAATAATTAGGAATTGACTTGCTCTACACTCTTCAGTATCTTTGATTATGCATATTTCATAATTCATGCTTACTATGATATATTGTACTTTGAACTTTGTAACTGACTCCGATACTATTTACTACATGTAGCTAACTGAAAAGACGTGATCATGGGAATAGCAATAACCCTTTCGCAAAGTGCTGTAAATTAAGAGAGACAAACTGGAATATGGCCGTTCGTAAGTAAGCTTTAAAAATACTTTCAACAGCCATGTAATAAATTAAAAATAAATTGAGGAGGAAACCATTATTAGTTTGTTTGTTTGTGTCATGTGCCAGACAGGCTATATTGTATGTAAATTAGTTGAGGTAGCTACTTTTAAAGTGTAATTAGTGATGAAATAGTTACATTGAAATATGTATTAGTGTGGGCACGGTGATATAATTGTGATACATTTTGTATTGCCAACAAAATAAACTGCCGCTGGAATACCTTGACTTTTGTTTTATTTTCTGTCAGAATGTACAATAATATATAGTGTTTGGGACCATAGGAAATATTTGCTTATTTGAAAAACACAAATGCTAAGAAAACAATTCAATTGACATTCCTTTTATTTCTCCACCATGACGACGATGTCTTTTCCTGTTTGCAGTATGGAGATTGACTATTTGTGGTCAGATAATACAGTACATTTGTGTCTGGTTTAGTTGCATAATATCCCATTTTGTTACAACCATTATCACACTTAGTGCACCTGCAAAAAAAGAAAAACAAAGGCGTACTAAGAAATGACCGAATACGATGTCGTAAAATGGCTTGCCACTTTTCAGGACGCATTTGAAACCGTGATTCCGGATACATATGAAATGAAATCATTATAATTACAAATGATCAGATTGATTGTGGTATACAAAGATTAAACATTATTCTCGTTTCAGTCGTTTTGCGCGAATGTGATGAAAAATGTTCGACATTTTCTCAAAAAAACAACACTATGAAAACAGCGGGTCATTTTGAAAAATAAATGATGAAAAGGGGGTCAGACGCCAACTCTATCCTACACCCGATTGATGGTATACCGGACCAAACTCTACCCATTCACCAGTAATATATAATCACCTCTACAAAAAATACGCGCACGCATTGAGACCAATGGTCACATTTACACGCAACGTAAATGGATAACTGAGCTATATACTCAGTTGTGTAATTTTAATGTGATATGATTAAACATTTCAAAATTATTACAAAGTTTATAAATGTATATCGACACATTATGTTAGACTGTCAGCACTCTGATCTTAGTAGACTTTTGGTTAGCTATTGTCAAGATAGAAAACATATATACAGGAATCTGATAGAAGACAAGAATGTAGTCTATGTTGCTCGTGGGTTTGACGCAATACATTACAAATAAGTAACACCGACACACATATTCAATTATAACTATTTTGCTTACTCAATCG